AAGAGCAAGCACAATGATCGATAAACTCAAAACAATCAATCAGACACAATGGTCTACCATAGAAGCAAGCATAATGATCGATAAACTCAAAATAATCAATTAGTATATCATCTACTCTCTTTGTATCAAAAGGTAGAATATTACTGCCGCTTATGAGACAATATAGAAAATTACACCAAGTAGACTACCAAAGACCAATCAGTTGGATTTCACATCAAAATTCAGATCGCTCTGATGAAAGTATGTGAAATTCATATAACAAGATTGAATTTTCAACCAACATATTGATGGTCACCAATATGTATTGATTTAAATTCGGGCAAAGAGATGATTCTAATTAGATAATGAATTGGGAATTTATATAAGACATTGGAACATAAAGATTAGGAAAGAAATTGATACAATTATTAGTTAAACTATATGACCACCTTTACCGTTATAAATAAGGATCAAAAAAGAAAATCAATACAATCCATCAAAACAAATGGAAATCTTTACGGTTATGAATAAGGATCAAGAAAGAAATCAATACAATCAATCAAAACAAATTGCAATCTTTATAGTTATGAATAATCTAAAACAGGGAAACTAAATCTTTATCATCATCATCTTGCGAAAATGCTCATAAAAAATTAAGTAACAGTTTCTCTTTATTATTACAAAATTATTACCTAGACCTCTTATTAAATAATAAATTACACTTATGAATTCAGTACTTTTGATTTTTGATAATCACTTTTTGTAATTGCATTAATGCTACAATTATTGTCATCTACTTTAAGCTTCCAGTACTATTGAGCTAATCCATTGTCAATCTCTTCATATACTTTTACATTATTTATAAAATATTTAATTATACACTCCATGTTAACTCGAGGACAAACGGCATAAAATATATTAGTGAATTAGAACACCTATTTTGCTAAAGTGATGCTAAAGTAACTATTAAATAATTGTTTAACCTTATGGAATTCTAGGTGAAAGTTCTAATTATCCTAAAGAGAAGACAACATACTTTAAAATTTGTTTAAAATGATTAACTGGCAAAAACTTATGTTAATTAGTTAAAAAGGAGCAAATTTAAAAGGAATATGTTATAAATACTTGATAAATACTTGTGATATATATCTTGAAAATAAAATATCTCTCAGAAAAGTAATAAAGCCAAAATAGATTAAAGAAACCTTCATCCAAGTGGTTGAAAACTTATCCATCTTTAGTAAAAGTTCGCGTCTCTTTTTTTTGGAATGGTTTTAAAACTTTCAAGAAAACTTGCTCATTAGACATTTCACAGCCAAAAGCTTTTCGTGATTTAGACAACTTATTTTTTTTCTAACAAAAAACATAATGGATCTAATCAAGGTGTAACTAATCTATTTTTTAAAATGATTTGCAAAAAAAATAATCCACGAAACCCAACATAACTAATCTGTTAATAGACTAAAGTAGCTTAGTCTAAAAAAAGTAGAAAGGGCAAAGGGGAAATAAGTGTCATATAATACAAAGTCAACATATCAATAAGAGCACAAACATAATAAAGTAATAACTAAAAGAGAAAAGAAAGGAGTAGTTTTCCAGATTTCTTTGCTAATTTTCCATGTCCATTTTGCATGAGCTTTTGAGAAGTGGGAGACACAAAACAGAAGAGAGATGCACACTTTGAAATGAGACTTCTTGCACGGTAAAAGTCTTTTATGAAGACTACAATTAGCTTCGAAAGTGTTCATGTAAAGGAGAGAGTAAAGATATTAGTAAAACAATACAACTTTATAGAGCTAAGTAAGTTGTAAAATGAATATGTTATCCAAAACACGAAAATGTGCAACAGTCGCAATTGGTAACTTTAAACCTTACTCAAAACAGCCAAGCCACAATTCATGTCTTTTGAACAAAAAATTAACACTCAATTTCAACAAGTTTAAGCTAAAAAAAATATTACTTTTCAATCCATGATCCTCGACATTTTACACCGCCCTCACTTAATAACTTAGAAGGGAACTTATACATGCAACTCTACTATCTAATGGATTCGGAAAAGAGATTAAAATCTATATTTTTTGTGTGCGTAGAGATAATATAGGATCATGGTTTTTCTCACACAAATATTTTTTTTAAAAAAAAAAATGTAACCTGCATAACATTTCTAACTAAGCAAGAACAACACTCATCTCTTTTTAACATACTTCTACAAATGAATACATGAGCTGCAAAAACTTTATCATATAAACATAACTGATTGCGAGTGAAGATTTAATCACGAAACGAACTCATTTCTTATTAAATAACGGCTAATACGTGAAAGGAATAAGGCAAGCTCGAACAAGAAGTAAAGAACCGAGTATATTTTGTTGTCACATATAATTATAGCTAAGTAAGAAACATTAATAGCAAGTCATGATTTTTCTTAAGATAAAAGAATTAAAAGTTTAATCGTCACCTGTTGCAGGGCAGTGAACGAGAGATTGATTCCGACGCCTACACGAAGTTCCTCCTCAAAACTTTCTTCAGACGAGCATAAAACAGTGGTTTCAGGTGCGGGGCAAAAGGCATCCACAAAAATGAATGCAAGGCCTGTTATTTATCTTCTGATTTTGCAACTTTGGGCTGAATTCATAAGAGATTTCAAAAGTATATTTGAATTCTTGTTGATCGAATTAAAAAAAAAAAGAGATGTGGATGAAGGAGAGACAGGGGGATTGCGCCTGACCAAAACAGAAATGGGGATCTCTGTCATTCGTTGAAATTGTTGGAGATAGGATGAGTTATTTGCTGGTTCAGAAAATAGAATAGGGTTTGTGAGCTGATTTGGGCTATTTTTTTAAACATATTTTGATATAAAATATGGGCTGAAAGCTTGATGGCAGAATTTCTTTGATTCAAAAAAAATAATTTGGGCTTCTAACTTAATAACGGATGAGTATAAAAGTACAGAAATTCCATTCAAAATATTTTTATTTATACAAAAGAAATATTTTGTGTAAAAGTTGGATTTCAATACAACTGTTATAGTCAAAGAATGAAATCCCTGGGTAAAAGTTGAATGGAAATACGAGTCCTTGTTGAAAATAAAGTTCAACATAACAAACGATAAGAGAGCAGAAGAAATAATATGTTATGGAATTGCTGGAAGATGTATTGTCTCCCGCTTGCCCGTGAAGTTTGTTGTTCAATGTAAATTTCTATTAAAGAAACTTATGATTTCTCATCCGGAATTTGCCCAAAACTTATACACTTTTACACAACTCATCTATACAAGAATGATGAGTCAGCATTAAGAAAATTCCACAAAATCTCTTTAAACCCAATCACTCAATCTGTGAAATTGAGATTTTAGAGACTTCGAATGAGTTATATGTTACTGTGTTTTCAATCCCAGCATCAATTCATTACTATGTTTACTTACCTGATATACATTTTCAGAAATTTCGTTTTAGTCATGGAGACATTATTATTACTTCCATCTAACGTTAGCTTGTGTCCATAAGACGCAGGCGTATAATATTGCTGCAAAAACTTAGATGACATACCAATTAGCAGCATTTAGTTCTTGTGGTGTCCTAAATGAGACTTAAAGTCAATAAATTAAAGAAGAGATCAGATGTGGTTGAGGGAGAAAAAGAGAGGAGAGCGTCTGATCATTTTTTTAGTAGGAAAATATAAAAATTTGCATCAAAACAGAACTGGTGATCTCTGTCCTTCATTGTTGGAGTTAGTCTGGTATGCAACTTTGTCAACGGTATTTCCATCCAAAAAGAAATTCTTGCAGAGGAGCTAGTTTACAGTAATTCAAGTTACTACAACAAAAAATACATTCAGTGCCAATAAATTTCCTTTAGCAGCAATAGGGATACGGTATGTAGCTTCAAGCTTCAACAGCAATTGTGTTAATGTTATTGCATCAATTTTTATAATTGTTGCTAAATATAATATAGCAATATAGCAACAATTGTACTATTGCCGGTAAGTAAGGGGTTTTACACAAAGTGCATAAAATGTAAAGTTATAGCACATTGACCTAATTCAACCCAAAATCTATTTCATGAATGGAGAATTGTCTAAATCATATAAGCAAATCACCAGTCCAATCCTTAACAAATGTGGGGTTCGTACTCACTCTAATACTCCATTCACGCTCAAAGGGGAGTTCCAAATAGGGATAAATTAAAGATATGATACTTACATCGAGTTGGGAACCAAAATAAGCCACAAAAATATAAAAGTAACCAAAATAAGCCACTATTTTAGTAAGTAACTAAAATAAGCTTAGTGGAAGAAAAAGTTCCACTATATCCAATAATCTAAACGTTTTCCGTTAGTGTCATAACGTTTATTTTTAATATATACCGGAACTTTTTCTTACACTTTATAAAGTGGAGTTTTTCCTTCCACTTTATAAAGTGGAACTTTTTATTCCATTTTATAAAGTCAAACTTTTTATTTATTACACTTTATAAGAAGAATATTTTTTACATCTTGAAGAAGCTTTTTCAGTGTTATCATATAAATTATATTGATTTTGATATGTCATTAAAACGGAAAAAAATATTTCATTATGTATTTTTATTTTGAAAAATCTTTCAATCTCTATTTAAGGACGTTTATATATAGTTAATAGCACCTACAACATAAAGTCTTCTATATTTGTTCATTACGATCTAAAAAATTATCTTCTACAACTAAAGTTAAGTTTCATTTTATTGGAATGACGAAATTATACATGACGGAAATACCGTTGATTATAATTGTCCTCCCAAACACAATGCTAAATATCCAATTAATGTCCTATATCATAAATTTATTTCATCAATTTATAAAAGAATGGGTATAAACAGTACAGATTATAATTTGATTATAGTCGAAAAATACCCTACTTCATTTTTATCACAAGGACAAGTAAATTTTGGAGAGTGAATTATCTATAATGACGAATCGTCGACGGACTTTTTAAGGGTTCCAAATGACTATATAGATCAAATCAAGTTAATAATACTTGAAATCTATGTTAGGAAGGAGCCTAAGATTAGTCAACAACGTTCTCCTTTATCAGTCGATGTTCATCCCTAATTAGAAAATCGTAATAGCATTGATGGATTTCTAATAACTCAATCTACTGATTTTCCTAAAATGACATATTATCAAAATATTTTTACCGGTCGATATGATTTTGATTTAAACGAAACTATCAATGAAAGTGATCGGTAATGCTCAATTATTATATTTCGATTATTATTTGTTGATTTTGTCAATTATTTATTAATTTATATTATTTATTATTCTTATTATTATATATTTTGTAGCGGTTTACCTCAGCAAGATAGGGATATTGTTCCAAGTTATGGACTAAATAATTATTTTGGTCAATCCTCACACTTTGAAATGACAGAAAATGTTGGGACATCCTCAAATTTTCATGTCTCGCCTACTTTTGATGCAGATGATTACCGCTATGTCTAACACTTATTTTTTTAATTTGAGTAAGCTAATTGCATGAGCCAAATATTTATATATTTTTTACATATATAGGAAAGACATTACACAATATGAGCTCATTGATCATGTGAATATCGATGATCGTGACCTTCCTAATTACGGCTCACCTTCAGCTAGTGATAGTGATGATTTGCCTAATGCTGAGGAATCAGGAGATAATGTTCCATTTGAGTCATCATCTAGTGATGATGATTTTTTGACTCCCAACCGATTGCCAAGACTAATGTCCATGAGTCCGTTTCGTATCATGAAATTTCTTATCTTGATCATCTCCCAGATAGTCCAGATATTTTTGGTGATACACATAATGAGTATAGATCACAACGTACGTGGCATGGACCAGAAGATTTCATGAATGATGCTATTTATATTGAAAAAGACATGTTATTCAATTCAAAGAAGTTGTTGCAAAGAGCAGTTAAACTTCTATATTTGAAGATAGCAAGGGATTGCTTTGTTATTAAATCGACAAAGAGATCATGGCGACTTGTTTGTAGGCGTGTAGAACAAGGATGTCGATTTAGGTTGACTTCTTTTATTGATTAACATACTAACATGAAGAAAGTTGGAAGATACATTAAAGAACATACATGTGATATGGGTACGTGCCTCGAAGGGCATTTCAACTTGGATGTTGAGATGATTGTTAAGTCCTCCGTGTTGATATAGAATGAACGCCAAGATACTATTTTATCCCTAGATGATTTTTACTTAATAAGGAAATATATTCATTTTTTATTTAATAATTAATATTATTATTAATTTCAGGTTTCCCATCAAAGACTGTCAAACAACTGATCTTAAAGCATATGACATTTCAATAAGTAAAAAAGAAGCCTATCTTGGTTGCAAGAGAGCTTTTGAAAAAGTTTATGGTACTTGGGAGGGTTCTTTTGCCGAGTTGTCAAGGTTCATGGAAGCTTTGAAACACTTCAATCTTAAAACAGTAGTCAATTGTATGTTGATAGTCAATACACATATTGGTGCAGAAATAGTCAAACAATAACATCCACCATATGGGAAAATTATGGAAGATTTGTTGATATTTTTTTGGGAAAAAAATAATAAGTAAATGTTTCAACTTAAAGCGACAAAAAGATAATTTTGTGTGTACTTTATGACATAGATACTTTTAAATATGAAGTTGTAAGTAAATATTTATTTTTCACATCTCCATCGTTTTGAGTTTTTAAATATAACTTTGTAGTTGATTATTGTATTTTTGTATTCATCCTTTCTTCTATTTTTAGGATATATATAGTAAAGTTAATCACATTTTGTATTTATCATTAATTATTTTGAGGGTAAACATGTTAAATCCCATAGTTTAATAATTATGTCTTTTTCATTGTTTGGTAATCATTTATCTTTTTAAACCAAATAAAATAAAAAATAATGTATAGTAAAAAAATGACTAAATGATACATTGAATAATATTATTTTAGAATATATATATATATAGTTCAAGAAATACAGTTTATCTTTATTCTTAACATATTCATGCCTTCTTTTCTGCTTGTCTTATTTATTATTATTATTATTATAATTTTTTATACGTATGATATGTTTCATCTTGGAGTAAGTCATGTTTTGTCTAGAATAAGTCTACTTTTAACAAAATGTAATTCAATTAGTATGAAAATATTTTTGTCTATATATTTAAATTTGATGTCTTTTTTTATGGATGTCATGTCTTTATTTACTTCTTTTTTTTCGTTTGAAATTATAATTTTTTCTATAAATTTGATGGTATACCGCCCAAACATTTTGTAATATTTTTCTTTATACGTATCTTTTTTTATAGACAATTTCTTTTTTGAGTACTAAAACTTATGTCTCTGATAAAATAAAATGTTTATTTTTCATGAAGTATTTCATATATTAAACCTCCAACATCTCACACAAGATTTTCATGTTATATTTTGTGCAGAGTTATATTCTTATGATAAACTTACATATGAAAGGACTTAGATTTGAACTTAGCTATATAAATTAAAATTTTCTAATATCAATTAGAGGACAAACGTGCGATGCACGTTCTGAGAACTAGTTAATTAAAAAGCAAAAAGAGCAAATTTGAAAGGATTATGTTATAAATACTAGTGATATGTATCTTGAAAATAATATCTGTCATCTTTTGCAACAAATTAGAAAAGTAATAAAATCACAGTAGATCAAAGGAACCTATCCAAGGAATTAACTTATCCATCTTTAGTAAAATTTCATGTCCCCTTTTTGGAATGGTTTAAAACTTTCAACAAAACTTGCTCATTTCATAAACAAAAAAATATTTTTAGTATGGG